GGGATTGAAAACCAGCGGAGCGGGCGACGACGGGCGATGAGCATTGTGTTACGCGGCCGCGGGCTGTGCCACCGACATTGTTATTAAAATAGGTGCATTATTAGACTTGGCTGCTGTAAGGAAAATTAATAGTCCTAATTTCAGTATGTTTGCCGTAATCTAAATCTTTATATACATAATTCTTCTGTGCGTGTGTATGTCACTAAACTCCTAATCTAGGTTAATTTTAATGAAATTTTTTGTGTGTCTTGTTTTATTTGTGAGTTGTTGTCGGATTTAAGTCGTGTGTACAGGACATCTGTCGGGTCCGCTAGTATATATATATTCCCTTCGTCATTTTTAACATCCGTACAGCTAAGGAGTGGAATAACCTCACACTCTGTTGCATGTATGAGCAGGTCCGTTCGACGAAATACCACAACCTGACAGAAGACCGGTGTGAAGTGAAGTGTAACACTTCTGCGTTTCGTCTGGTGAACGAAGTAACCGGGGCACACTTTATTAAACGGTCGCAACGCATCTGCAACCCCCACGGGTGTTGCAAATTTCCATAGGCTGTGATTATCACTTAACATCGGGTGAACTGGTAGCTCGCTTTCTAACTTCTCTCATAAAAAAACCTGCTGGCGTCCTTTTTCCTTCCCATTATATTGTAGGCATATCAAAGGCAAGAGTGAATAGCCTGCATCGCTATTTGCCATCAGGTGGGATGGCAAATAGCGATGAAAACATTGATATGTGTCAAGACTCCAAGACGACTGGACTGGTTTTGATGAAATTTCCAAACAATCTTCAAGTTAGCCTAGCAAGTTTTCTTGTGCAGTTTGGTAGCGAAAGGACGAACTGGTTTTCTATTAACGTCGATACTTAGTAAAGTTTAGGCAGAATAGTAAAGTAAAGTTGTTACTTTACTTTACTATTCTGCCTAAACATGTATAGGCTGTTGCCTATACATTTTCCACTGCTGGGCAAAGGCCTCCTCTATACAGAGGGTATCAGGGCATAGTCCACCAGGCGGCCCCACTGCGGATTGGCGGACTTCACATATCTTCGAAAAATATATTTTTTTGTTATTATTTCGAAAATATGCAGGTTTCCTTACGAAGTTTTCCTTCACCGCGGAGCACGTGATAAGTCAGCACTTAAAGTTAAAAACTTCATTGGTGCCGGCACCGGGGATGGAACTCAGGTTGCTCGAGTATATTGAAATAAAGGCGAGCGCCCGGACACAGCTATCACGGCTCTTAGGCAGAATATTTTTTCTTATTTGCAAATTCGACAATCGAGCAGACGGTACCCCTGATGTAAATTGATGACCGCTGATGATGCACATCGGTAACACCTGAGGGGTTGCAGGTGCGTTGTAAGCCTTTACATAACAGATGAAATGCGAAAGAAATCCACTTTTTTCATTGTTCTTTTTAAAACATGGCCCTCACTTTGGGATAACATTATCCTGTGTTGTAAGGACGTTTTACAAACATAAATATCACATGGACCAACATCCAGATGCGAAACATCTAACTGTCGGTCGCACAAATAGTTGTCCCGTGTGGCAATCGAGCCCACGATTCCCGGCGCCGAAGCCAATACATTGGCAAATGCGCCACGGAGTCATCGCGTACCACTTCGCCCTGGTATCCTTTGAGATCGAAGTACTTCTCTGGATGAGCCTGCCCATTCATGCAACAGCAGAATCTGCTACGTAGTAGAGTACCCTAGTGCTGCTAATACTTATTTTAACACCCAGCAAGGCCAGCAACAATTGTAACACTGTTTTAGAATTCCTAACAAACCAATAAGATATAAAAACAAAAATTAACTAGTTTACATGAAACTGCCATTCTTTTGCCATTAATTAAATTCCATTTCTTTTAATAAAAGATAAAATAAATGGTTTTAAATTAATCGAACAAGTAAATAGAGTGTATAGAAAGATGGTTAATTGTTTTGAAGAGGTAAGTGCTAGAGAGGAATTAGTGTAGAATCTGTTAAAAATTTAATAATGGCTTTTTATCAAGGGACTATCTGTAGTAAATAAAGTTGTGAATATATGTGTTACTTAGACCTTGCAGAGGTCAAAGTAGGAATAATAATATATTTTCTTAATTTAAAAGATTTACGGAAATAATTGCTAAACTATTGACTTAAAGATTTTAATTATTAATTCAAAATGGTTTTATACTTTCCTTTAAGTTCGATTCCCACTATGATTTCAATTTAAATTTTTCCCTTTGTTACATAACTTATAATATGTGAAAGATTATAAACAAAAATTAATATTTAAGATATAATGTCCTTTAACCATCATTGGGGTAGACAGAATATGTAGTTCGATTCATTAATTGTACATGAGATGACATGATAATTTTCCGTAAGGTACATAAAAATAAAAATAAAAGTTTTAGACACAGCTTCTTCCAACTTCTATCTAGCGAAAACTCCATTACCATGTTAGTTATTATGTATAATTATTAATTCATCAACAAGATAATTTAAACTGAACTTCAGAAATTATAGCAATTAATGACATTTAACTACATAGTGAAGTAAAGGTCTTCAGTCAGTCACTCAGTGTTGAGATATTGACAGTGATATATAATTAAGTAATACAAATTCAAATTTTAAATATCTTTATTCACATAGACGCTTGCGCGTTCTTATGGAACGTCAAAATTTTACATAAAAATTAATATGTTCGTAAGTAAGTTACCACCGGTTCGGAAATAAGTTTCTGTTGAGAAGAAAGCTGCAAGAAACTCAACAGTTGCTCTTTTTTAAAAAGAGACCGTTATATTGTAAAATGTGTGACCATTATATTGTAAAATTACAATCGAATGGTAAAGGTTTTAATAGTCTTATTGTATATAGCCTGCGTGAGTATCAACAGTATTAACCCGCACATTGGCGTCGTCAAGTTATTTCGCAATGATATAATATACTTTAGCCATAAGTTTACTTTTAATTTTGCGTGTAAATTGGTCAAGTGGCAGACTTAATATCGACTGTGGGGTTTTATTATACATGCGCACACTGCAAATTCATTCACATTCATCGATTACGTTAATCGATAAAGTACGTTAGTAGATATTTCGTAAGATTTTTTTTTCTTGTTAGATTCTCATTCTCCCGATTGCGAATTGACCGGATTATTCACATTTTGAGTTTTAAACCTTATCTTGACTTATTACAATTTGGCCCAACGAGCCCATCCCTTTCATCGAAATTTTCATCGGCTACACACATATGTCTAGTCAATAATTGATCTCCGCACACGCTGACAAGGAAACAGGCCGAAGCCTGTTTCATTGCTTAACGAGATTAAATGAACTCGACTGTACCACGTAATTTGCGCAAGACTGTACATGGGGGGCTTACGGGAGCGCGCTGCGAAATGCCTACGCAAATCGCATCAGCGGAGCGTTCTGTTGTGCGCATCTGTTGCCTGGCTTATGAACTTAATGCATTCGACGTATCCATCGAACATTGTAATATCCCTCTGCGTTTAGATGGATTTGTATTTGTGGTTATTGTATTTGTAAACTTTTGATTGAAACAAGTTGATTTGTTTGACGGATACGTTTTTTACCCATAGGTATAGCTGTACCCATACTTCATAAAGTATGATGTAGATAATATAAAGACGTGTACTAAATTTTATAGCGATATTGCACGAGAGAAATTTGTACGAAGGTATTTAGTTGACTGTCATTATTTAATCACGCGTGAAGTCAAGAGTAATAAAGAAAAACAAATTTACTAACAACACATATGAGCGTTTTAAAATTCAGAATACAGTTGTTATCAAAAATTAATTCTTCAAGTTCGTTGTCAGTGTTTTTAAGAGTTTCTTCAGTTAACTCAACAAAAAAAATGCGAATCTTTGAATACTTCTTGCATTCGATGTTCTGTGAGTCCGTGGTATTTCGCTGATCAGGCCTATTATGAGAAAAGTGAAGGTTAATGGCTGTACGACGGTTAATGTACAAAATTTATAATTTTCGCAGGCTTTTGTTGACACTATGACATCTCTCTAAAATCGCGGGTAATATTGTTTAGTGGTATTCGCTATATATTTTTATATTTACAATTTATTTTATATATATAGCTATATATTTTTATTATATTCTTATATACAGATAATGTCAATAGTTCCTACTGCATAACACTTAATTTACTGCTTTTGTTGCCGCCATACGCTACTAATTTCAATATTCCCGCATTAAGATGACAAATACATTGACTAATAATACTTCATTCAAATCCTACACTCATTCATTCGCAACCGACACTCTCGCCGCCCAACTCACACGCACGAACTACATGCTCCGTCTACTTTAAATTATTAACCTTATAAATCACGACCGTGAATGTGTAAATCTGTGTAGCTGTGCAAGACATTGTAATCCGAGTGCTCGCTGACTGAAAGCCTAGAAGAACATCCAGGTCAGCGCGTGCTCCATGATTCAAATGCCCGTCGCCATCTCGAGATTAAATCCTAAATAATCCCGCATATACAGTCCACTGTTTATCGAAACAAACCCATTTCCGCACCAGCTTTAATTATAGCAGATTATTCTTCACGGTCTGAAATACATCTCAATCGAACAGCTGCCCATTTTATTGTGCTTTTAAAATACTCGAGAGTTGTCGCGTTTTAAAATTGGCAGTAAGCATGAAAATAGACCTCCCTTAACAGTTCAGTTCTTCGCTCGCCGTCCCAATCTTAGATACAACGGGCGGTTACCAAACGATCTTTTGTGCTAGATGATCTTTTTGTTCCAAACCCGCCGAATGCGTCCGGACGAGCGGGAACCCACAAACGATTAGAATACGGATGGCGCGGGCTGCCATTAACCTAAAAACGGGCCGCGCGCAAAAATCCGCCGCCTTCCAGAAACTTCCCCAGATTCGCAGGCCGCACACGTGAATGCGTTCAACAGCAATCTTGGAAGTGCATTTCCAGATGGGCGTGGTCTGAACCGGCCAATGTGCACTCAGGCGATATACAGCAGCCACTTCGGGTGGACCTCCCCGCCCCCGTCAGCAAGAGTGCAACGGACGCGGCGGGGGCAGGTTGGTGGTTTTCCACGGGTCCGCCTAGACTGGTTAGGACGCTCGCCCCGCCCATCGGCACGCTTGGAGGAGTCCACAGTGTGCGAGACAGGAATGGAGATACAAATTAGAACGAAATAAACCATCGTTTTCTTGTAGATAGTTGGCAGATATAGTCAGCATTGTCGGTACATGGGAGCGTTCCGCAGTGTGTCGCTATGCTAATGAGCGTGTTATTTATGATCCGGCGATGTCGCAAATTGGCGTCGCATCGGGAAGTATGGGTGAAGTTGGGTCTGTTTGGGCATAACCCGATATGACCGTTATTTATGGGCGAAGTCGACAAAAAATACTTCTCGGAGTTTTCTTCATTTTTCTTCTTAATACAGACAAGTCTGTATAAACACTCACGTCTGTGAACTATAGGCATAAGCAGAGCCTACACTTCTGTCTTGCTACATACGTATAGCCTATTGTGATATTAAAAAAATAATACACGCGCTTTGCAATGTGCCCAGATTTGCGGGAGGTTTCCAAAGTTCAAAACTATTTGAGACGATGGTTTGTGTTGCGTGTTATTGTTATATTTAAACTTCGCTGTTTCGACTTCTTATGAAAAAAGGATGTTAAAACGAACGGTTAGAAAGTTTTAGGCAAAATATAAGAAGGGATTTAATTAATTTGGCAGCGGCCACCTTACATCTTAGTTCAGTAAGAAGCTAGGAATTACTTAGCAGTTTCTGGAAATTATCCTGCTTTGATCGATGTAACGTACGATCGTACGTAATCTACGTAAACCTTTCGGGTCAAAAACCTTAAAGGAAAAATGATAGAGATTTTAGTCATCATTATCCGATGTCAATATTTTCGTGATGAATTTCCAGTAATTAATTTATTGAAGAAATTCAAACCAAAGGAGCTGATAAACTGATATTTAACACACTCAAATTATCAGATTCTTTAACTGATGCTATCCAAGATAGTTATAATATATAATAAGAAGCTTTTAATAAGCTTTAACGCTTCTGATCCTATAGACGTGCTGGGGAAAATAGGGTTAGTTTTATGGGCATATAGTCAGCATCATGTCCCAAATTTATTCCTATAAGCCTAAAGAATAATGGAATGAGTGTAGCAGTAATTTCTAAAACTTTTTACGAAAATGTTTATAATTATGTATATTAGTAATTGTGATTTAAAGTTATAAGGTACTGAATAAGTAGTTAGATTCGATTTCCAAAACTATGTGTACAATTATTTTTAATAATATTACTTAGTAATTAAAGTCGATTTAAAAAGAGAACACTAACGAACACATAATTATAAATTTAGACTGTGGCACTTCTGCATCATTCTGCATACTAACTGGCTTTTACTTACAAAGTGATGAAGCAAAGCGTTAACAGACGATTGGGTGAGATGATTTTCGAAGTTAAGTCATATACACTCTGTGGTAAGACACAGCAGCGGTGTTGCACAAATGAGCAGATGTGTCCTGGAAGACCACGACCTCATAAAATCAAAATCAAAATCAAAAATATATTTATTCACATAGACGCTTGCGCGTTCTTATGAAATTTCAAAAATTTTACATAAAACTTAATACGTTCGTAAGTTACCACCGGTTCGGAAGAAATATAAGGTTCGGAAGAATGTAATATATTCATAGAAAGCCATCATTAAATTGAAACATTATGTAATACCTTTGCGTTTCGTCTGGCTACGCACCGGACAATCCAGATGTTTCTTTCAAGAAGTGAGGCTACTCCTACCTCAAAGGTCGGCAACTGAATCGTGACTCCTCCGATATTAAATGTCCGGCGACGATCGCTTACCAGAGCCGCTTACCTTTTAAAAAATCCTTTTTTTTCCTTTAAAAAAATCTTGAATTAGCGGCGATAATCAACAACAATTTAACTTTCCACCAAATTACCTTAAACAGTTTTTTCCCATTCATATTAAAAAAACAAAACATTAAACTATCCAATGATGTTTAATAATGTAGATGACTCATGTCCACACTGCGCGGCGTTTAAAAATTGTTCCGCTTTACATTATATGACATATATAAGTGAATGTGAATGATATAGGACGTATGATACGGAAAGAGATAGCAGTTTATAGAATTACACCAATTCGCCTAATTTGAGCGCCTCAGTTTCGATGCACTAGTGTCATATCTATCTCGTATTTGTATATAATATCATTGGTTCTATGTATAAATAAGATGACAATAAATAACTTCGCCTGTATGTTTACGTAAATGAATGTATAATCTATGACATTTATTACTTTAAAAATGAACAGGAAATATTCACCGACAACGCCGTGAAACTCGCATTTCCTTTCGAATGCCGTTTTAAATTCGACAACAATACCGAAAGTCACCCCTCCCGCATTTTTACGGACTGGATGTTTCCTCCCCCGGAATAGTTTGGAATTCCCCCCCGGCCGGTACGCCCGACCGTGATCTCCCCACATACATGCAAATCACCCGGCCCTCGCCGCGACGACCTTCTTTTACGATCGTTGTAAAGAAAGGCGCGGTTTTTCGACACGATTTACTTATTTTAACTACATGGAAAATTGTCGAAATAAATGCATCATGTTTAAAAACATTCAACACTCGCGGTTTACATATTTGTTAAGGATTTAAAATAAGCAAAGTTATCCTCTGTCGAAAAATTCTTGTCTTTAGACGAATATAATACATAGTGAAATGAAACTATTTTACGGATTTTATCGCGTTTAATTCGATTTATAAATTCCCGTTGTTTCGAACCCTCAGCGTTCACGGTCTATCCCGTTACAAAACAATTTTTATTACAAAAATTTAATTTATGATAATGCCATCTATTGAAAATTTAAGTTAAAGCCGAATAAGTTCACTAGAAACCGTTATTTTAAAAATTAAATAACTCTAACTTAATAAACACATAATTACATTTTTTTATGTGAAAAGTTGCCAAACGAGCAGACGGTTCACCTGATGTTAAGTGAATACCGCCACCCATGGACATCTGCTACATCCGATGGTTTGCAGATGCGTTGACAACCTTTTTGGAAATTGGGCTCCGGCTACCTCACTCACCAGACGAAACGCGAAAGTATTATGCTTCCACTTTACGCCAGTCTTCTGTGAGGTCGTGGTACTTACCCGGACGAGCCTGCCCATTCGTGCAACAGACGAGGCTGCTGCGTGGCCCTACCACCGTTAAGTGTGGTAAGGCCACAGTAATCGCTTTCGTCCGGGTAAGTTCCACGATCTCACAGAGGACCGACGTGAAGTGGAGGTGTTATGTGTCTCCGTTTCGTCTGGTGGACACCCGGAACAAAACGAACCCTCCGTTTTGTTCCGGATGTTGCAAATGTCGATGGGCGGCGGTTATCACTTAACATCAGGTGTACCTTCCACTCGCTTACCACATTCGCACATAAAATATATATATATAAGCATTCGGTGACTTGTAATATGTATTTTGCTAAAATTTTACACGAGTCTAATAGGTTTTAATATAAAAAGAAAAAGATGGAGAGCAGAACTCTCTGAATGCAAACATTATAACTGCCAAAATAATTGTTGTTAAAAACAAGAAAACCCACGCATTAATTCAATTCAATTGCACGCGAAATTACCAGCTTAATTCGCAGTATATCAAATAAATTTCGAAGCCAACAGTGTGGTTGTGGCGGAGTTCTTATTATAATACTTTGCGGCACAATGTTTCTTAGTTCTTATGACATGGATGAAATACGGTTATGGCCGGAGTTACCCAACTCTCCCCCGCACTTTGCCGGGGTGGGATAGCGCGTATGGAGATTTCGACCCTCTTAAATTGTTATATTTCTCCTTAAACTACAGCTTAAAAAGAACGAGCGTTTGAATTGAGCATAAATTTGTTACACGATTATTTTCAGAGTTATTTTTATTACTTACCCGTATTGAAAACTGTCGTTTCCTTATAGTTCATCAAAGGAAGTAAATATCGTTTTGTCAACTTTTAGAATACCTTAGGAGACGTTGTTAAGATGAAAGACGAGAATGGTGTAGTTTTGAAACGGCAGTTAGCTGGGCGAAGAAGAAAAATTATTAGAAATCAATGATAATTGTATAATTTCAAAAGTATATGGAACTCACTCTATATTTCTTACTTTACCAGTCAGTAACAGACACTCTATACTTTACCAGCATAATATTCCTTAAATAAGATATAAAAGTGATCCTAATTTCATGAAAGTCATTCACGCAACTTATAAAATCCCAAATATGTAAATGAAATAAAATTTCTTAGTAATATATTATTTATATCACTTTTTAGCTAAATGTTGGTCAAGAATATCGATAAGTAAACTTAAAATCCATTAAATTAATTGTAAGGTTGGTAGTTTGTAATTTGTAACAGACAAAGATAAAGACATAGTAGGGAGTTAGGAACTTGATAAAAGTTCCTTTTAACTCCCAACTATGACCGGTGTGTATTTTCCGGTGACCTAACACAATTATCCTTCAACATTAAATACTGCAAATAACTGATGTACATTTTATTAGCGAACGATGCTTCGAAACGGCTGAAAGTCATTAATCTTAGGTGTACATAGATGCATGTAAACCATATATACGGATAACCGCACTAAACCTGACGTTGCAGTGGATCAGCCATTACTGCTAATGACTTCGCCACGGCACCTGCTCCGCACTGAAATAGGGCTGGCGATAACACGGACTCGATTGCATTTTATCGCTTCTATCACACCGTAAGAAATACATTTAAAATAAGCAGCTGTATATAAAATGTTATGCGGTGCGCATCAGTGTTTATTCTTTAAGCAAACGGCGCTCTTGAACAGTGTCCACATTTTGAGTCATTAATATTTGTTCTTAAGATTAATACGGGCGTCCTTTTATTCCAAGACGGGGCACTGCAATTGAATTAATAAACTCTAAAATAAATTATAGTATGTAGTTCTACTATACAAGAATTTGTTTTAGAAAAGACGTTACTATCAGAATTTTTTTTTGTTTTTTTTTTTATGCGAAAAGTTGTCAAACGAGCAGACGGTTCACCTGATGTTAAGTGAATACCGCCGCCCATAGACATCTGTTACATCCGAGGGTTACAGATGCGTTGGCAACCTTTGGAAAATT